GTGTGTGTGTGTGTGTGTGTGTGTGTGGAGTACAGTGTCATTGCTCGCATGCAAAGGTCAGTTGAACACAAAGGTCAGGGTTCAGCAAGGCTTGGTAAAGGTCATATAAAGTTGTCGAGGTATGACAGAGATTCCTCGCTCTCTCTCTCTCTCTCTCTCTCTCTCTCTCTCTCTCACTCACACACACACACACACACACACACACACACACACACACAGAGAAGGTATTTTCTGTCTTCTGCTGTAGCCGCTCTATTAATAGAGAAACCTCAGACTGTATCGGTGTCAGACAGCTGAAGTGTGTACAGTATTTTATGGTTTGTGCAGATATTTTTAATCCTAATCTTTTTGAGATTTGCTCACAGTGAAATGAATGAGCGTCTATGGCGAAGCATTGCAGCCAAAATTTCTCTTTTTAAAAAAAAATAAATAAAAAAAAAACTACCTAACTTTCATAAAAAAAAAAGTTAGATCATGTCTAAATATTCAAATGTATATTTTCTAAACACAATCTACAATTCTTGCTTCGTCCATGTACTTTCCATTATGGTCATAACATGATTTTGACCTGGTATGCAATTTTCCTTTATTTTTATTTTTTCAGCAATCTGGCTCAAATACATAATTGTTCATATTTTCTTTGCAATTTATAGAAAATTTTTATTTAAGCATTTATCAGGAACATTGGTTTTATATAATTGTGACCTGAACGGTCTCTGTCTCTCTCAGGATGTCTATCAGTAAGATTCACGCTCGTGAAATCCTCGACTCCAGAGGAAACCCCACCGTCGAGGTGGATCTGTACACGGCTAAAGGTACAAACACAATCACTCTGACTGTCTATCAGCCCTAGTGACCGCACAACTGTTTTTATTCTTTAAACTCCAAAATTAAACTTTTTTTTTTTTATACCATATTTTGTCGAGCCATCATTCAGAGTTTATCTTGAGGAAATGTTCCCTCTCTAGTTTGTAATTGATTGATTGATTGATTGATTGATTTTGTTTCCAGGTCGTTTCCGGGCGGCTGTTCCCAGCGGCGCTTCCACTGGCGTTCATGAGGCTCTGGAGCTCCGAGATGGAGACAAGACACGCTACCTGGGCAAAGGTACGTCTACCTATATCACACTCACTCTCTCACTCACACACTCAGTCAAATCATCTATGTATATGTATATATGTGTGTGTGTGTGTGTTTAAGGTACCCAGAAGGCCGTGGATCATGTGAACAAAGAGATTGCTACCAAACTGCTTGAGAAGGTGAGATCATGCACGGATCATAAAGTGACTTGTGTTATGATTATTTATATAGTAACATAATCAAAAACAAGAGTTATTAGTGTTTATTATTATTATTATTATTATTATTATTATTATTATTACTACTACTATCATTAAATAAATAAAAAAATTCTAGCTGAATTACCCAATATCGCAGATGTAGTATCTGTTTATCATTATCATTTTTGCGTCACATTTTTCTCATATTGATAACTGTCAATATCAAAATGCTTGTCTACTAAATACTTGCAACCTAATAAGCTTTTTAACTGAATTATTTAATAATTTAATTTCTCTTGAACATATGCAAGATTTTATTATTAATTAAACCACTGAAATCCCCCGTAAAGCTGGTAAACAGTTTTAATGTATTTAACTCCTCTCATCATCCGTGTGTCTGTGAACAGAAGTTCAGCGTCGTCGATCAGGAGAAGATCGACAAGTTCATGCTGGAGCTCGATGGAACTGAGAACAAATGTAAGTCAAACACGCACCTCTTTATAAAATAACTTCCTGTAGATCATGGTGGGTGCAGTGTGAAAATCACCTAATATAAATGTTTATATATTGATTGATATAATGTAAATGTAAGTTGCTTTGGATAAGTGTCTGTCAAATGCATAAATGTATTGATAAAGGCTACAGATGAACGCTTAAAGAAAACGTTTCTGCAGATTTAGAAAAGAAACGCAGTATTTCTGAATCGTATCTGCTTGCTTCCCATCACGTAGCCAAGTTTGGTGCTAATGCGATCCTGGGTGTGAGTCTGGCTGTGTGTAAGGCGGGCGCCGCTGAGAAGGGCGTTCCTCTGTACCGCCACATCGCTGACCTCGCAGGAAACAAAGACGTGATCCTGCCGGTTCCTGTACGTGTGCCACCCGCC